CATTTTGCATAGATCGGACCATAAACAATAATTAAAAAAGCTGAAGGTACTCTGGGTTTAACAATGACATCGGGACATCAGTCATCTCAGTCCCCCGTAACCATGGGTGCTGGAAAGCACCCGAAACGTCGGGAATTAAAAATAATAATAAAATAAACGCGATAAAATCCGTAAAAGTAGTTTTAATCAATAGGAAATTTAAACTTTATTCAATAATGTAACTTGTACTTAAAAATAAAAAAGCAATAACATACATTTGAGCAAACAAATTCAATGAGAGCGTTGGCCTTGAATGGGTTTAAAAGTTTAAATAAATTTAGCTCATAACTTAATTTTCAAACACGACTCGAAATTGTCATTTGTTACTTGGTTTCTTACCTTACTTTTAGTTATATTCATGCAAGAGAACGCTTGCTCGCACGAATATTTTGATCCGAAGATTGTCGGCTTTATAAATTTCAATTATTGTTGCGTTACGTAAAAACCTTTCTGGACCGCCAACTCTTCCATCTTGCTTTTCAACTCTGTAAGTTTTCCACTCCACAAAGCTTTATTTTTTAAGTCGATCAATAGCATTTCTAGAAATCCAATATGAACTTCAAATAACCCAGTGTGGATTTCGTTACTGTGTATGTTCGTTTTGTATTCATTGTGTGTTCGTTTCGGTAATGCTAGAGTGTTTTTGTTGGTTTTGAATTGCTGAAATCTATCAGCAAATTCGTTTTTAAATTTTTTATAACTGTGCTGAAGTAGTTCGTGTCAACAGTTGCACTGGTTTCATCGCGATATTGCTTTAGAAATTGAAAATGAAGTAATTTACCACTCTGAATATCTTCTGCCAAAATAATTAATTTTTCCTCGAAACAAACCAATTGTTTCACCAAAAAATTATGGATTTCCCTTTCCTTGCAGTTTTAGATTAGCATATTTTGCCATGATATTCACCATACAGTAAAATTTTTGCAATCATTTGTCGTTCTCTAATTCAAAGTGATTAATCCCTTTTTCATTGAGGAATGTATTTATTTCATTCAAGCATAATGCAAAACGTTTCACATCACTTTGGAAAATCATCGCACTTTTCTTTAAATTGACGATGGTAGAGTGCTTTTAACAAAATGCTGTTATCAATCTTGATTACCAAATTCGTGACCTCAACTATTTCGGCCGGAAATGTTTGCACAAATTCTTGGTATATTACGTAGTGAAACGTATGAATTTCGTGGTTTATTTTGCTCTTTAGAATCGTTGTTGTCCCTTTATATTTTCCTGCCATACTTCTGGCTCCATCAGTTGCTATTGAAACGGTTTCATTTAAATTGATCCTATTATCTTCGAAGCAGTTTTCCCCGGCATTCCCTATATCTTCCCCTCTTGTCCAAGAGCGGTAGCAATCCTAGAAGTTCTTTTTTAGGACCTTGGGAAGACATATACCTGACAAAAAGGGCATCTTTTGCCGTGTCTTTTATGTCGCAAGACTCATCTATAGCAAGTCATAAGGCAGAAGCGAGTTGAATGTCTTCCACCTGCAAATATGTTAAATTTGAAGAAATTTTTGCTATTTTATCGTGTACTTTTATCTAGTAATTTTTAAATGATAAAAGCTGTAAAATAGATAAATAACAATATAGATAACTTACTAAATATATACATATTTTAATAAAACACCTTCGTAGAAATATCAGACAGTAGTACTTCGTTTCTTTTTTGACAATTCTTATTGACGTCAAAAAAATAGTTAGATATCTGATTTGGAAAAGATATGTGTAATGTATTTTAAAAATATAATACTTATTATGTTACCTACCTTTACTTAAGTTTTTTATTATTATTATATATGCACATAGTACGTACCTTCGAGAATATAATTCACTTCTCACTCTTCAGCTTGAAACAATAAACTATACGTCACAGCCAAAGCACTGGTGAAGACGCCAAACCGCCTTGCTTCGAAAGCGAATTAAAACCTACATAGGAACATCCGAGGACGGCGTCATTTAATAGCTTCCGACGGACTAATCATAGATAATATACTATATAGGGTACTTACTACAGTAACGACCCGTATCACGAGGGAGGGGTGCGGTGAAAAGCGAGTACAAGTGGCTGATAGATAGAAATGGTGCCTAATACTCGTTAATCGATTCAGATCGATTTTTAAATGATTTTTTTTTAAATTAATTAATATTTGCGTATGGAACTAAAGAGCCACAGCTTCACATCCAAAGAGCCGCATGCGGCTCGCGAGCCGCAGGTTGTCGACCCCTGTCCTAGGCGAAAGTTTGTCGACCAAATTGGCGATATATTAAAAATGGGCCAAATTAATAGTACCCTTAACCGATGAGCATGTATGCGTAGGTATATGGATGTGGAAGAGGCGAGAGAGGTACGTCAGGATCGTGCTAAATGGAAGTCTGTAGTCTCTGCCTACCCCTTTGGGTGACAGGCGTGAGTGTTTATGTTAAAAAAAAATCAAATTTAATGACTGAAATTAATACAAAATAAAATTGCTATAAATGCGCTAAATATTTTTTATAAAGACCGTAATATATTATTCATAAGGGGCTTTCCATCACAGATGTTTGAAGGTAGAACAAGAGTCAAGATCACGTGAGATTAGTCGTGCTTGTAGGCTGTGTTTTTTTACTGGAAGCTTGCTTAACACGCTTAAAATGCATTCCGCGAGCATAAATTTAAGTTTTCGCTGTTATCGAAATAGTTACTCTTATAGAGTTTTATTTACGAGCTGAAGGAAATGTTTGAATGAGCTACGTGCTCCCTAACGTGTTTAGTTGTTTAGTTACTGAGACGTAGTTATGTTCGTGTCTATGCGTGCCTAACACTTCTCGTTACTGTCTATCTCTGATCGTGACAGCTGTAATAAAATTATACAATTTACGGATCATTTAAATAACTAACAGCTACATATCAAACTCATTTCTTATTTTACTATACCTATTGTTGCGTTTATTTTTAAATAATTTACAAAGACTATAGTATTTTTCTTGATTTTATATTTTTAAGTAACTTTGAAAATTTTAGCGGCCTTGGGTGGCAGCTACCCAAGATAAGTCCCTAGTTAGATCACAAAAACAAAAATCAAATAACTCTATTCCAATTATTCAAAAATGGCATCACTTATTGTTTTATTTAAAACATATAAAAAGTTTTACCGATTTTATATTTTTAAGAACTTTCTAAAATGAGGAGGAATAGGCTCTACGTCTCCTAGCGGCCCTGGGTGACGGCTACACATGCTGCATCACTAATGACAAATCTAGAAATCAAATAACGTTATTCCAATTAGGTACTCAAAAGTGATGACACTTTTAAGTAATTGGAATAAAGTTCACAAAACGGAGGTTACATTTGGGTTAAAATTAAAAAAATAGGGAATAATAAGAATTCACTAGGTGCCAAAATCAGGCCTATTATGAGATGATGAATGGGTAGGCAATGGAAGCAACGTCAAAGAGTGGGAGAAGACTAAAATTGCGGTCGTCTATCGATATGCACAGTGAGGTGATATTTTATTTAAAAGAGGTTGAGAGCAACCACTATCATGCAGCTCGTCTGATCGTAAGTGACGACGCCGCTCAGCGGATTTGTAGGCGCGTTGCACGTTTTAAAAGCTCCGCGAGGGCGTTTTCATGGTAAAGCAGTAGCTCCTTATAATCAGTCACTTGTTGCTTAATAAATTTTTTGGCATTGGTGTAACTTTGATTTTCTTATCGAATTAACACCAGGTAACTCGTCAAAGTGAAAAACCAGCGATTAAACTTTCACCGCGCACGTAACGTGAAACTATTTTTATCAAATAAATGTAAAATCTCGTAAACGCTTCCCGATCCATTCTGCAATATGCATTGAAGCTCTTCGTACGTACATGTTCAATACCACTACGCACTAGCCGACTACGACTACATATTTAGAGGTTATGGTTGAATGAAGACTGATATAGCACTAATATAGGAGCAACTAATAATAGACTACGAAAACTTATTTGGACTTTAAAACCCTCAGACATATCGGAACTCACAAAAATTCAAAATACTGCGCTAAGTCAATCTATTTGTGTCTTTTCCTGATCTAACCAGCAATACAACCTCTGTTATATTCCGATGTGAATGGGTAGAGGTATTGGTAAAGAGAGTCAGTACTATACAGGTTATGAGGTATCTCAGCCCTTGTCAAAGAATCTATAGATTCATTATATAGCCCTTCTTATTCAAACTGGGTTATAGTTATCTATGGGCTGCAGAAATGACTCGTTGTGTCACTATGCCCCAGATAAATAGTAAACGATATTAAGTTAAAGTTTAAAGCTTAATCTGATTATTATATCCTAAGGTAAAACAACTTTTTACGTTTTTCTGTATTTTTAAAAGAAATATTTTAGATAATTATTTATTTATATAATATATAGAATGGTTAATTTTTTAAAAGCTCTTACTTGTACCATTATATCATGATGATTAACTTAAGCTGACTATAAATTTATAAATTAGGTATAAGATATAAATAGGTTTGAGCCACTCTTTACACATTTATGTAATTTTATTACAATTATAGATATTCTTGTCTTATATATCCATAGACTGGATAATTTCTAAACATTCTTCACCATTTACCACCAGTAGCGTAAGAGAAACTACAGTTTTAGTAAAATATCGTATAAGTTGACGAAGCACTTTAAGTAACAGTGGGTCCGATTGCGTTTCTTTGGCGGACTTAAATAATGCCGAATAATAGACTTAAATTAGTCTAAAATTCGTACTAATATTATTGCTATTGCGTTTGTTAATTAATTACGTCCACAACACTATTTATGTCCAATTCGGACTTAAATTATGTCTACGCATGTCTTTTGCTATTCCGTTTCTGACAATTTGACAGTTCGTTGGCTTTAAATGAACTTATACGTCTAGGAAGTGTTATTCTTTAAGTTCGCACCTATTTAGTCCGTACGTAAGCTAAGTTTCTTCAGAAAATAGTGAAAAATGTTTCCTTATGGCTGGGCTATCATTCAAAGAAGACACAATAAAGAACGCCAACGGTATGAGTACGAAATTTATATTATAGAAACTGCTTTTCTTGCATACGGTAGGTATAAGCATAACATAACCTAACTTTTTTCGTTGTAGGGCTGCGAGAAGGATAGCGCATCGCCATATTCGCGACCATTCCAACCCTTTCGACGTGCCTGCAGAGGTTTTTACCAAATTATACAGGCTCTCCAAAAGAACTGCGCATTTTTTAGTGGAGTGTCTTCACCAGAATTTAAATCGACAAAGGCAGCACGGAATTCCTGTGCATATCAAAGTTTTGGCTTCACTCCATTTCTTTGGACATGGCGGCTACCAAACAACGGTTGGGCAGGGGCAGTATTTAGGTTTAAGTCAGCCATCTGTAAGCAAATGCTTACAAGAAGTTGCTGATGCAATTATAACTGTTTTATTGAACGGTATGGTGCTATTTCCAGAGACTGAAGAAGAAAGGGCAGAAAATAAACAGAGGTTTTTACAGATAGCTGGGTTTCCTTCAGTCTTGGGTTTGATAGACTGTAGTCAAATCTCCATTGTTCGCCCAAAAGACACAGCACTTGTGCCAGCGAGATTATTTTTTAATCGCAAAGGCTTTTATAGTCTTAATTGCCAATTTGTATGTAATGCAAAGATGGAAATAATTCATTTCAATGCCACTTTTCCTGGATCAACACATGATGCAGCGGTCTGGCAAGGATCCAGTTTGAGCCAATTATTGGAAACTAATTATGTTAACGGAGTTTCAGCTGGTGAATGGCTTCTAGGAGACTCTGGATATGCCCAACTGCCTTGGCTGATGACCCCGTATGCTGATGCGGATGAAAATACACCTGAGGCTAGATATAATTTAGCGCATACCAAAACGAGGGTTCTTATTGAAAAATGTTTTGGAGTGATGAAAACAAGATTTAGATGCATTCACAAGCACAGGACGTTGCATTATGACCCCGTGAAGGCATCTAAAATAATAGCAGCTGTAGTTGTTCTCCATAACGTGGCAATTAAGAGAAATGAACCTTTACCAGATGAATTGCAACTCGAAGACAGATTGCGGCCAGCAGATGATCCTCCCAGGGATATGAATTTTTTAAATGTGGCAAGAAATATTCGAAATAACATCACAAGACAATACTTTGCATGATGTGTTTTAATTAAAGATTTAAATTAAAGAATTAATAATAAAACTACTAAATATAACTTAATTTCGAAAAAATAGTTTATTTATTTTTATTGATCGCTTCGACGAACATGGTAGCGGCACGCATTATGCAATCGCCAAGATACCGAGCGGCCTCTGTCTGCGCATTGGCGAGCGCCATCTGCGCTTGGGCTCCCTCCCTTAAAGCCGCTATCATGGCATCTCCTTGCGGGGTGGCTGAATCGGCTGGCGGCACGAGCGTACGGGGCGTTGCTCGACGCGCGTTGCGGCGCTCGAGGCGCGGAGTGTTGCGCACCACGCCGTCCTCCAGTCTCTGTTCAGGGGTTGAGGCCACGGTGTGTTCACGACTGCAACTGATCGTCGCCAGATCCCTATTTGCCGCTGGCATCATCAACGCGTCTACCGCAATTCGACCAACGCGAGATGCTGTCGGTATTGATGACGCGTCCGTCGCCATTGAAGTGACGACAGTCGCCCCATCGTGACTCGCCGTCGGTGTCAACGCGTCCACCATAGCCGCTTCCTTCGGGGGCTCTTCTTCAGTGTCTGAATGTATATCCTGCATAGTACAATTACAAGGATAAATTCATACAATTGTACCACTATGAAGTCAATTTCAGAATACCATTATGCATAAAACTCTTTTTAACATGACTTAAGTATTTATTACTCATACCATTAATAATGCGGTTATTCTATAATTACCAAAATTGACCATAACGCTTAATGAAAACTACATCAAAATCTAATCAGTAGAACTCAAGTCATAATAAGGGCACTGTTTAAACTTATTTATAAAACTAACAAATCTTTTTTATATGTATATAATAATGTTGTTGTGAATAGGTAAAATATACTCACAACTGTTACTGCGTCTAAAATCAACGTCTGCTTGGGCTTTGGCAGTTGAGTATCATCCAAAACCTGTAGTCAAAATAAAATCAACTTAACATCAGACCATTACTGGTAATAAATATCACGACTGCTACAAGCATTGCCATAACACACTCACCATGACTATGTTTTGTTTAACATAAGGATCCGGAACATCAACAATGGGCTGTGGAGTCCCTGGGACAATAATAATACCCTGTAAGAAATTTACAAGTCAAGGATCAAGGTTTTCCGTACATATTATAAAAGGACATATTTATAATATTAATGCTATGTAATGTATGTAGTTTTCAAAATTAACATGATGCAATCATGAAAAAATAAGTAAATCTAATATAGAGCTTACAAAAAACTAATGCCAATAACTTACAGCTTCCACAGCTCCAGGCAATCCATATATAGTTGATGTCCCCTCTATATTTATTGTTTTTTTCTCCAGTTCTGTCAAGCAGATATCTGCTGGAGGACCACCTCCAGTCCTTTGCATAGATGCACGCTGTGTGCGCATCTTAGCCTTCGCCCTGCGTGCTAATAACTTGTATGTCTGAAAAATTTAGATTATACATTTAACAACAACTAATATCCAAGTGGGTAAAGTAGGTTGGTTATGATTTAAATTTTAAAAGTTCACTGATATATTTAGTACAAAATTAGGACAATTTAATGTATGAAGCACCACTAACTAACCTCTAACCAATCTTTCTGTGTCTTACGAACACCTCCCATTCCATTGAGGGCTTCTGTCAGTTCAGTCCACAACCTTTTGGTAGCCGGCAACTGACAATTTCCTGTTGATAAATAAAGACAAATGAAGTATAGGTAAGTATGAAAACATCATGTTTTATTGGATGCCAATTATTTATATTATATGTTATGTTATAATTTAACGTGAATAAATGATTGTAAATGTAATAACAAACGTTGCAATGCGATATGGCTACCAAACTGAATTTACACAGGAATGCTTGTAGATAGGATAAGTTAGAGTGCAATTATATGATTATGATCAAATTTAAAATGAACTTGCTATTCTGTAAATAGATGGATGGATGAGTAGGGTAAATCGATAGATTAAAATATAACAATTTACACTACTAAAACAAAAATTCACATGAAATATTTTGTAAACATACCGTTAACCGTTTCCGGATTCCTCATCAAGAAGTTTAATAAATATTGTTGCTGTTCTTTCTTCATTCTTGGCTTCTTTGTATCCATATTTATTAAAATTTCAATAATTCTTGCGAAAACTCACACAAAAAATAACCACGACAGACTTGACAACTTGACAGACTAGTGGTGTGGTGTTGCCATTTGCGGCGGCAAACGAACGTAATTACGTCCATTTCCATAGACGTAGAATTAAGCTCAAATTTAGTGACGTGAACTTATTTTAACAGAAACGTAATAGCTTTAGGTTAAGGACATGGACATATTTAGTAAAATTTTAGTCTGTCATTATTTAGGTTCGAAGAGAAACGCAATCGGACCCAGTGTCTGGAAGTTCCCTGGGTAGCTGTTGCACATAAGTAGTGAAAGGTTTTCTAATATTAACGGACTTTAAAACCCACAGACATATCGGAACTCACAAAACTTCAAAATACTTATATACTGCCCTAGCTCAATCTATTTTGACATATTGTATCTCCGATTGGGATAGTGGTACGAAAGTGAAATTGCTACAACTGGAACGCGGTACCTAAACGATCATTGATAAAGGTCATGTACAGTAAATCATACAAATTCCCTACATATTAACTATATTCAGTTAGTGATTAAGTGTTAGAAAGATATACAATTATAATTTATAAGGATTTCTCGGATTTTTGTATCAAGATATCGTTGGTGATATTTCTGGGATTATTTTTAAGTAACAGCAGGCGCCCAGGTACAAGCGGCATATTGTAAAAACTTTCATAAAAATTGATATATCTTAACATACGTGAAATGGAATATGAAAAATACATTTTTCCAAGTAAGTTCGATGCAACTACAAATAACCTATGCACTTAGCACTACTAACCCCGATTATTTATTAACCTTATTTTTTAGTTTTACAAGTATGAATTGAAACTTTCTATGTAATTTTTTTTTCAACTAATAAATTCAAATATACTTCTAAGAAGTAAAGAAACAGTATTGATTTTTTAACCATTTCCTATATTATTTAAAAAAAATTAGCACTTTAAATCAAACAAATAAAATTAGGTTACATGTTAAGGAAGTTATCTTATGGAAATCTTACATAAATTTATTACTACATGTAAAACAATAATTTGCCTTCAAAAAAATTTTACAAATGTAAGTAGGTTTTTTTACGAACAAATTCAATCTTCATCGGAGCTCAGTTGAAAAAACTTAGTTATGTCTTAAACTCTTTAATTCTAGAAGAGTCCAATTTAAATTACAGCTTACGTAGTAAAATGTTATAAATTATAAATTTAAAAGTTGGTAAGATTTAAGAGCAAGTGTTCTTATAACAAGCCCCAAAATTTGGTTCAATTAACCTCTTAGTGTATTTTTTGATATTATATTAAGAAGACTTAACCACTATAACCACATCAATGATAGATAAAGTTGATAGCTAAGAAAACGCATAAATTTTTAAATACTTATGTTTAAAATAATAAAGACAACCTGAACTTTATTTTTCAAGTTGCTTGACTAAAATGAAGAGTACACATGCTCACTTCCTGTGCCGCCAGGTGGAACACTGAACATGACGACGGTCCGATATAAAGGTAAGATTGAATCAAAGAAATAATTTTTTAACATCTCATACATATAAATATATATACATTTAAAAATACATACTATACCAATAAATTACATAAAATCTAGCATATGAAATTATAATATATAAACCAATAACATTAATAATGTAATTTTAAATAATGTGCCTCAACCTTACGTTTAAATGTATTTATTGAGGATCATCTTTTAAATTTCGTGGAAGGTTATTCCAATGTGTATTTGATGATACCGTGAAGGAATCCGAGTAGTACGAGTATGTAGATATGTGCATCGGAGTAATTAGAGTTTTGTTGGTCATCGAACGGGAATAATACAGCTATTATAAAACAAAGTTTAAATAGAGATCAGGAAAATGTCCACTTATCAAAATGATAAATTACTTAAAACATCAACCACATGAGGCAAAATTTTAAAAACCGCAGAAGTGTTAGTCACGCGAACTTTCTTTGTGGTTGGAGACAATTGCTGGGGCAATCAACTTGTCGGCAAGCCGCCGGTAATTTACAGCGTTGTAGCATTAAATCGATTTCTTCTTTTGTTCAAACCTTTTAATTTGTAATTATTGCTTTCGCTGATCAAACATATGTTTTTCAAATTACTCATAACATAAACTGTAATTTTACGGACGAATTAAATTAAACACTCGTGACTTTAGTTAATCTAATTCAATTTATAATAAGAATCAAGAATTATATAAACATATAAAACTATTATTAACATTTAAAATTATTATTGATATAGTACAAAATGGATTAAAATAATAACGATGTTTAAGGAATTGAAAAACTTTCTCTTATCAAGTAATCCGTGACACTGTTACATCCTACTGCGACGTCGTCATCGGTATCATAAAGTCGCCATTGACAATAGTGAGCTTATTGTCCCGTGGTGCCATAAGAAGCGACTCTGGGTAAAGCCAACTGCCTCTCATTGCCTCTGATGGTTTATTTTCTACTCATTCTCTATCAGCCTTAAAAGTCCACTAATGGATATGGGCTTCTCCAGTTTTTAGGAATATATCAAACGTCTTGCACCTTTAACGCTGTGGTCCATTGCTGGTATTTACTTTTTGGATTGGGTGACAAATGAGCACACAGTCCACCTGCTGGTAAGTGGATGTTGTGGCACATAGACATTTATCCTCAATTAATACTTAAAATGCAAATGCCTTGACACCCCTGAGGACTAAGATGAAATACCTCGATTCCAGTTAAAAGGGAGTCCGGTTCTTTAGACTCACCATACGAAATACAGCAGCATTAAACTGCTATTTTACGTTAGTATTCTGTGAGAGCGTGGACGTAGCTGACTGGCCCATTATAACTTCAGCTTAC